TGGATATTTCTCATATTAGAAATCTAACTGCACACCTAAAAGTCTAGAACAAAAGAAGCAAAGATTGAAGGAAATAATCAAACACATGGCTGAAATCAATAAAATTGAAACAAAGAGAATAAGACAAAGAATCAGTAAAATAAAGAGTTGTTCTTGAACTTGCTCTATAGACCAGGCTGGCCTCAGACTCACAGACATCCACCTGCCTCTTGCACCCAAGTGCTGGGATTAAAGACATGGGCCACCAATGCCCAGCGGTAGTCAAACTCTTATTTAAACTAATCGAAGGACAGGTGGTTTCCTTTGCTGGTTTCCCAGCTATCAGTCTGGGATCCATAAGCTCCCCTTGTTCAGGTCAGTTGTTTTTCTGTGAAAATACATAAGCTAATAAAATCAGAAAAAAATGGACGTGACGACATACCTTTAATCTCAGCACTGGGGAGCAGAGGCAGCAAGATCTCTGACTTTGAGGTCAGCCTGGCCTACAAAGTGAGTTCAAGGATAATCAGGTTACACAAAGAAACTGTGTCTTAAAAAAATCAAAAAAGAAACATAAAGGGGGGCATAACAATCAACCCCAAGGACATCCAGGGAATCATAAGGACATACTTTAAAAACCTGTAAGAGTCGGGTGTTGGTGGCACACACCTTTAATCCCAGCACTCAGGAGAAAGAAGCAGGTGGATCTCCGTGAGTTCAAGGCCAGCCTGGTCTTCAGAGTGAGTGCCAGGTTAGGCTCCAAAGCTACACAGAGAAACCCTGTCTCAGGAAAAAAAAAAAAAAACTGTAATATACCAGATAGGAAAATCAATGGACAATTTTCTCAATAGATAGCACTAACCAAAGTTAAATCAGGCTCATATAACAAATTGAAATGGACCTATAGCCCCAAGGAAATAGACACAGTCATTTAAAACCTTCCCCACTCCAAAAAAAATCCCAGAGCCAGATGGTTTTAGTTCAGAATTTTACCAGATTTTAAAGAACAGTTATTGATGATATTCCTTACATTTTCTACAACATACAAACAAAAGGATCGTTGCCCAGTTTATTTTGATGACACAATTACCATGATACCTAAACCACACAAAGATTCGATAGAGAAAGAGAATTACAAAACTATTTCCCTTATGAACATAGATATAAAAATACTCAATAAAAAACTTTGAAACCAAATCCACAAACAAATCAAAAATAATAATTCACCATGGACAAGTAGGCTTCATCCCAGAGATACAGAATTATTCAGTATAGGAAAATCAATAATGTAATCTACTATATAAATAAATTGAAAGAAAAAACACAATAATTACATTAGATACCAACAAAGTCTTTGACAACATCCAACACCCCTGCATGATAAAAGTCCTGGAGATATTAGTGTTCCAAAGAACATGCCTAAAAGTAATAAAAAATTTGCAATAAACTTATGGTCAACTTCAAATTAAATGGAAAGACACTCAAAATGTAAACAGTTGACTAAGGAATTCCTACAGTTGAAAAACACTTTCAGCAATGTGGCTGTATATATAAGATTAACTCAAAAGAATCAATGTCATTTCTATACACAAATGACAGACTGAGGAAGAAATCAAGGAAACATTACCTTTCACAACAGACACAAACAATGTAAAACAACTTGAGGTAATGTTAACCACACAAGTGAAGGATTTGTATGATTAAACACCTGAGGCATTTGAAAAAAAAATAAGATATTAGAAGATCAAAACATTTCCCATTCTCATGAATCAGTAAGATTAACACAGTAAAAATGACCATCCTACTAAAAGCAATCAATAGATTCAGTGCAATAGAGTCAAAACTCCAAGACAACTCTTTCCAGACTATAAAAAGTTAGAATTGCATATGAATTCTCAACTTCATATGGGAAAACAAAAATCTAGTGTTGCTAAAACAAACCTTAAAAATAAAAGTACTGCTGAAAAAAATCATCCTTCCTAATTTCTAGTTGTGCTATACTATAGTAAGGAAAACTTCGTTGCATTAGCATAAAAACAGTTATGTTGATCAATGGAATTAAGGTGAACACCCGGATATAAATGTACACACATATGGACACATTATTTTAGATAAAGAAACCAGAAATACAATCTGTATAAAGAAAGCATCTTCAGCACATGATACTTGTCAAATCAGACATCTGCAGGTAGAGGACAAATAGATTCATACTTATCACACTGTACAAAACTCAAATCCAAATGCATTAAAGACCTCAACATAAAACCACACATACTGATACTGATAGAACAGAAAGCAGGGAAGAACCTTGAATGCTTTGGCACAGGAGACAGCTTTCCAAACAGAGGCAGACACTAAGATCAAAAATTAATAAAAGGGACCTCATGAAACTAAAAAGTTTGTATAAGGCAAAAGACACTGTAAATCAGAAAAAGAGGCAGCTTATGGAATGGTAAAATATTTTTACCAACCCCACATCCAATAGAGGTCTAATATCCTAAATATATAAAGAACTGAATAAACTAGATACTAAAAAATGAAATAATCCAATTAAAATGAGTTATAGAAATAAACAGAATTCTCAACAGAGGAATCTTCAATGGCTGAAAAACACTTAAAGTAATATTGCACATCAGGGAAATGCAAATCCAAACAACTTTGAGAATCCATCATGTACATGTCATAATGCCTAAGATCAATAACATAAGTGACAGTTCATGCTAGAGAGGATCTGGATCAAGGGGAACACTCTTCCATTGTAGTGGGAGTGCAAAATTGTACAGCCACTATGGAAATCAAAATGGCCGTACAGTCGAACTGCCTTGGGGATGCCAGCTGTCAAATAATGAAACATAGACATTTTATTAATTATGAAAGCTTGGTGTTAGGTAAGACTTGTCTCCAACTATTTCTTATAACTTTAATTAATTTTAAACTATATTCTGCTTTATGGCTCATTACCTCTTTTCCATATTGGATGTCTCACTTCCTCTGTGACTTGCTAGTGAATCTCCCTTTTCCTTTCCATGAGGTCCTCTCTCTCCCTGTAAGTTCCACATACTCTCCCCTGCTTAGCCATTGGCAAGTTAGCTCTTTACTAAATCAATCAGAAGGGGCCTTAGGCAGGTGAGGTAAAAAATAAATACCTCTTCACACCATGTACAAATATCCCACAACATTTCCCTCTTGTTAGTCTCAATACATGGGAAAGGTTTTTAACTCTCACACAGTAAAACTATATACAATATGAACAATTATCAGGTAGGAACTACATTGACAATGTCTGTTTGACAACTTTCAGAGGAAGTACTCTACTATCTATTCTATCTTGGTGAGTCCATAATCTTGTACCTCAATTACTTGTGCCTAATTACCGAAAATACCTTTTTAGACCTTAAAACATTTTCTTAGATGGAGAACTTAAGCATTTATATATCTCAATCTTTAAAAATTAATATCAGTTTTGCAAGTTTCTTTTCTAAATTTGGTAAAAAAAGAAAAGAGTAAAACCATAACTATCTAGATTTCAAGCCCATCATAAACCTGAGAATAAAATATTTCTTGAGTAATAGGAAGTACAGAGCAAGAAACTTCCACAACTAAAAAATGATACATACAGCTGGCTTCCTGATAGTCACCCAAGGTTTCTCTGTAACATTGGGACATCCATTTTCTGCCTAAAGCCTAAAATATCTGACAGACTTTTCTGTGAAGCAGGGATTTTGAAGGCCTGGCTTACCTTGTCTTGACAAAGTTCAGTAGTTGATCTCCTTTGTCTCTTGCTTGTGCATTGGGACAACATATTATCAGCAGTCCAAACAAGGCAAATTGTTTTGCCCAGGGGCTAGCTTTGCCACATTTAAAGCAAACTTCATATGAAGGTTTTTTGATGCCAATCATTTTCTCTGAAGTAGATAGGTGCTGACAGGAATAGACATATTTTGATGTCAAGAATAGCCTTAAATCACTAAAGCATCTTAAATGCCATATCTGTAGAACTCTGAAGTGTTTGAAGATCACCAATCTATTACAAATACATAAAGCTAACTAAAGCTTATTTTAGTCTACATCTAAAACATTACTACAAGTTTGCTTGTTATCTTAATTATTCTAAAAAGTTTGTAATATTTCCTTCCAAGGAATAGAAGTTTATATTACAATTTTAAATGAGTTGTATAGGTGTAGTACCTTACAGCATGTTTTAACAAAAATAAAGTTAAATTTGTATCAATATACAAAAATCCATATTTGCGTAAAATATTTGAGACTAGCTGCTGCTTTTTAGATTAAAATAGATTTAGTAATTACCATTTAATACTATCATTCCCATCCTTTTATTCAGAAATAGATTCCTGAATCTCACCTCCTTTGCTTTGTTTTCTCCCTGACCAGGTCCAATAACAACTTGCAGTCAAACTCCCTAAATTATAATAAACATTCATATCCCACCACCCACTCAAACTCTTGAAAATGTGGGCACCATTTTCTTAAAATTACTTCCTTTTTCTGGGGGTAAGGGAGCCTGAGAAATTTGGGATGATGGCAAAGTCTTAGGAGAGCTAACTATAAATTTTATTGTACAATCTCTGTAAGACATGAAACTATAATACATAACTGAAGTCCAGCCTATAGTAGTCTATGAGGCTGAACCTCAAAGGTCACATCCAGGAATGGTTACAGTTCATTGCAGAAAACTTAAACACTTTAAATGTCATGTGCAGCAGATCTCAGAGTGATTAGAGGACCACAATCTATTAAGTACATCTGGAGTACACAAACTTAGTTCCTAGTTAACTGCTTCAGACTCAAACATGAAAACATGTACAGGAAATTAGATGAGGCTTTTATCTACAATTAGTACTCTACATGGCTACTAATATCATGACAGAAATTTATATATACATAATAATCTTGTAGATTTTGAGATAATATTTATACCTTAATAAAAGTTTTAAAGAAATGGATGCACACCAAAGGATGGTGATTTTAAGTGGCAATAGAATATCCCATTAATTTTGAAGAAGATCCACACGTCACTCACCTTCCGGCGGCCCAGGACCCTTCAGCTCCAGAGGCAGCCCAAATACTCACAAAAGAGGGCACCCAGGAGAAACAAGCTTGACCACTATGCCATTATTAAATTCTGCCTGACCACTGAGTCAGCCATGAAGAAGACAGAAGACAACACACTTGAGTTCATTGTGGATGTCAAGGCCAACAAACACCAGATCAAACAGGCTGTGAAGAAGCTCTGTGACATTGATGTGGACAAAGTCATAAGGCCTGACAGAGAAAAGAAGGCATATGTTCGGTTGGCTCCTGTTTATGATGCTCTAGATGTTGCCAGCAAAATTGGGATCATCTAAACTGAGTCCAGCTGGCTAATTCCAAACATACACTTTTTCACCATAAATTAAAAAAAAAACCTGAAGATGAGAACATGCATACACATAACTGTGATTGTGGATGGGAGTTTTTTGTCCTGCACAGTACTGCAGTTATTTAGTGCCAAATA